TATGATCCTGCATACACCGTGGGTAACTATAAAAACACTTATATACTGGGCACTGGTGGCTCACATTTGTAATCCCAGCTACTCAGGATGCTGAGTTCTGAGGATTGTGGTTCAAAGGAAAGTCCGTGAAACTCTTGTTGCCAATTAACCACCAGGAAACCAGAAGTGGAGCTGTAGTTCCAAGTGGTAGAGCACTAGCCTTGAATAGAAAAGCTACAGTACCCAGACCCTGAGATCAAGCCCCACAGTTGGAAAAAAAAAAACTTAATATAATACTATTATTTTTCATCCGAATATTTTAAGTAAGAATTTAGAAATTTAACATATATCCTTCCTTAATTCAGATGTTACATTCTCTAAGTTTCTAGAGAACATTTGTCTATACATCAAAATTTTAGATCTCCATGTAACCTAAAAGAATTCTAAAACAAAATATTAGGAGTGGAACTGTACTAGCTGAGACTGAGGTAAAACAAAATTAACCAACTGTACAAAACTCATTTTCAAAGGGAAGAACATCTGAGAAGCATATTGATAGCAAGGCGAACTCCAAACTTCAAGAGAGAATTAAAATCTGATAGGCAGTTTTGATTTTTCACTGTCAAGATAAAGGGACCTTGAAGGAACAGCTCCAAGAAGCATTGAGTCCCCCGACCAGGAAAGATGCAGCTTCTGAACACTTTACCTGCTCACATGTAGACACAGACACACCTTCTATCCTGATAACTTCAAATATCTTTTCTTTCTTTTTTTTTACAGTACATTTTGGTAGCTCTAACCTTGGGTGGATATTCAAAATGACCATTATGATTCTTAGGACACTAATTTATGCCTGATTTTACAATCATGTACACATTGGCACATAGTGATTCTTTTTAAATCCATAGTTTACAAATTAAAAAGAATAGACACACTGTGCCAAATTTAGTATTTACATAACTACAAGTCAAAACACTAGTTCCCCATTTTACTTCTTACCACAAAATAAAAATCAAACATGATTCAGATACATCACAGGTTCCATTGCTGGAGATTCTGAGGGACCCTAGCTATGACGTGTTACCAAAAGATGTTACTACCACTGAAATTCCAGCAGTGAAGAGATGTAATACAACCAGAGAAAGCTGACTACACAGCGGAGAAAGTGTGAAGATACTGAGGAATTGGGCAGAACATACCACAGGAAAAAGTTTTATTTTTAGGATATAGCCTAAAAATAAATTTGTATTACATTGTTTCTTTTGTGTCAGTACTAGAGCTTGAAAGCAAAGATTCATGCTCTCATTTTTTTCACTCATGGTTGATGCTCCCTCACTTGAAACTTGCCACCAGCTTGTTCACTGGAGATAAGAGTCTCTTAGTTTTGTCTGCCAAGGCTGATTTGAATCTGATCCTCAGATCTCAGCCTCCTGATTTGCTAGGATTATAGGTATGAGCCACTGGTACGCAACCACCAATTCTTTTCAAAAAGATTTTTTAAAAATTTTAAGATTATAAAATGGAAAGGTCTTTAAGCTTAGTTGCTCTTTGGTTATTTTTGAAACAAGATGATTTCTTCAAAATATAATGTGATACATACCTGAGAACAAGAGGAGATATCTTTAAAATTCTTCTCTAGCACAACTGATTTACTATCTGGACTGATAAGGTTAATCTCAAATCGTCCAACCTTTGGGAAAAAAAAAACTACAATTAAATTCAACTCAAAATGACTTAATACTTCACTTTATAATTCAACAGTGAACCAATAACACAGATTCAAATCCAAGGATTGGAAGCATGGCCCAAGTGGTAGAATACTAGTGGTGAGCAAGCAAGCAAATCTAGCACAAGGCAAACTTGGTATTGGCAGAAAGAAAGAAAAGAAAAGAAAAGAAAAGAAGGAAGGAAGGGAAAAGAAATAGAAGAGAGAGTATTTTCTCAAGACATTTTTTTCTTTGTTGAAAATCATGAAAACTAACATGTTCTTAAGTTATAGGACACATATTAGAAATGACTACTCAAAAAATGCAACCTTTCCCCATTTTATGTTTTCTAAAAACAACAACATTTTAGGATAGTCAGATATACTCCCAAGTGGTCAATAAAATATGTATGCCATCATTTGCATATGGGTATATATATGTATATATATATATATGTGTGTATAATCATTTGTATATGGGTATATATGTACATATAAGAACAGAATGAAGCTGGGCACTGGTGGCTTATGCCTGTAATCCTAGCTACTCAGGAGGCTGAGATCTGAGGATGGTGGTTCAAAGCCAGCCCGGGCAGGAAAGACCCTGAGACTCTTTTTTTTTTTTTTTTCGGTCGTGGGGCTTGAACTCTGGGCCTGGACACTGTCCCTCAGCTCTTCAGCTCAAGGTGAGCACTCTACCACTTGAGCTACAGCGCCACTTCCGGTTTTCTGGTGGTTTATTGGAGATAGGAGTCTCATGGTCTCTCCTGCCCGGGCTGGCTTTGAACCACGATCCTCAGATCCCAGCCTCCTGAGTAGCTAGGATTACAGGCGTGAGCCACCAGCGCCCGGCAGACCCTGAGACTTTTATTTCCAATAAACCACCAGAAAACCGGAAGTGGCAATGTAGCTCAAGTGGTAGTACACTCGCCTTGAGCTGCAAAACTGAAAGACAGCGCCCAGGCCCATAGTTCAAGCCCCACGACCGACAAAAGAAAAAAAAAATAGAATGAAGGGAATGGAGGATGTGTGTGTGTGTGTGTGTGTGTGTGTGTGTGTGTGTGTGTGTGTGTGTGTGTGTAAGTAACTGGTCTAAATAAAAAAAAATTTACATTAAACAGCTATTCAGGAAAGACAAATCTGATAGTCCCCAAAAGGAGTGAAAACTCAGCTATTACAAGAAAACACCCGAGACAGGAGCTAGCAGAGTGGTTCAAACGGTAGAGCTCCTGTCTAGCAAGTACAAGGCCTGAGTTCAACCTCCAGCACTAGGAAAAGACAAACCATAAACAAACAAAAACACACAGAGACACTTTAACTAGATGCCAAGAGTTAACCAAAGCTACCATGAAACATGACCTTCTGCAAAATAAACTATTACATACTGGAACTGCTGACAAGGTTTGCTATGGTAATTCCCTTCCAGGGATTCTATAATAGGAAAAGTCAGGAGTTACCCTTTTTTATTTTATTCCTTGGTGCGGATCCTGGGGCTTGAACTCAGGGCTTGGGCACTGTCCCTTGAGCTCTTGTACTCCAGACTAGGGCTCTACCACTTGAGTCACAGTTCCATTTCAGCTTTTTTTAGTATTTAAGTAGAGATAAGAGTGTCACAGTCTTTCCTGTCCAGGCTGACTTTGAACTGCAATCACCTAGATAGGATTACAGATGTGAGCCACTAGTATCCTGCCTTCTTGTTTGGCCAGCGGCTGTTTTGTTTTATTTCATTCCAAGAAAAGTCAAATCTTACAAGTTGATGGTAAAAGATACTCCACAGAACACTATCATAAATTAAGCTTTTTAAGTCGAAAGCGACATTTGCTGTCCCTACATGACATACAAGAAGTATTTTCAGAATCAAGAGAATTATCTTTTATCTTCACAAGACAGCCTGTATCAAATTATTAATAACCAACTCTAACTCACTAGGACAATGACGTATGTGTGCGGGTGCACACACACATGCCCGTGCAGTAGCACTAGAACTCAGGGAACTGCCCGTTAGCTTTTTCCAATCAAGGCTGGTTTTCTACCACTTGAACCACACCTCCACTTTTTTGGTAGTTAATTGGAAATAAGCGACTCTTAGACTTTTCTGCCCTGGCTGACTTTGAACCTTGATTCTCAGATTTCAGCTTCCTGAATAGCTGGGATTACAGGCATAAATACTCACACCCTGCCCCAGTTGCATTTCTTAGCTTTCCCTTTTAGTGATCTAGTGTGTATGTTCTCATACGAACCACACCTGAATCTCTGGAAAAATCCTTTTTCCTCCCTGTCAAATCACACTTTCCTAGATTCCTATCTTTAAATCCTTTCCTAGATGGATTCTAAAACTATGTTTTTCTAAAGACATTTTTTTTTAGGAATCAACTCAGCCTCCCTCTGTATAACCCATGTAACCTAATCCTTAAAAACTGCTTTAAAGAAAATCAGCTCAGGCAATGCTGGTGTCAGAGATCCAGAGTGACAGTCACAGATCACAATGCCAACCTCTCCAGCTTCTCTGCTCTCCTGCTTGCTGTGAGTGGGACTTCCATGAGGACCACTGGGGAAGGCAGCAGGCGGGATGTCAGCCAGCTGCGCCCATCCAAGAAGTCAGGAGGCCACAGGTGGAGGTTGCTAAGCAACCGGCCTGCAGCACCTGCCAGCATCCGCCCAAAAGGAAGGCCATCCCACGCACCTGAAAGAGCATGGTTCTATTCTTCTCGGAGTCGGAGGGCTGGACGTGGCTGGGCGCGCTGGCGTGTCTCCTCCTGGGCTGTGACGTCTGGCTGTTCTCGTGAATCTTCTTCTGCAGGACGCCGGTGACGCTGCTGCAACGAGCCCGAAACTCCTGCTGCTCATCCAAGTCACCGTCTTCCAGAATCCGCTCCGGGAAGCAAACGCGATTGCTGGGCAGCGCGGGCTGGCTGGCCAGGACTGGCAGGGCCGGGGGGCTGTCGGCGGGGCCTTCGGCCTCCTGGGGCAAGCTGTGGCCGGGGGACCCGGGCACCTCGGCCTCGGGGGCCCCCGGCTCCTCGCCCTGCAGCCGCAGGCGCAGCTGCTCGTGCAGGCTGAACTGCTCGATGCAGTCGTCGATGAGGCTGGACGGGGCCTTCTTGTGCGTCACCGTCACCCTGCCGCAGTACAGGACCTCGAACTTCTGCGAGTTGTAAAAGGCGTCCTCGTTGTCTTTGCTGGGCTTGGCTCCTTCTTTCATGGCGGCTTTGGATAGCTGTCGTATGCTGCTCATGACATCGGGGACCTGGGGACATAGGAGAAGTCTGATGTCTGCCATCACTCCTTATTCACGCGTGCGTGGACTAGATAATCACCCTAAGTGATAGAACACAAGCAGGACGGACGCCTCTACCCCAGGTGGAGTGTACACTGACATCACAACTTCAATGGAAGTGTAATAGCCTTGAAATTGAATAGCAGTATCCTCTTTTACCTTTTGGGTTTTTTGCTGGTTTTTTGTTGGGTGTTTTTGGGGTGCTGGGGATGCTCTTCCACTGTAAATGCCTTCATTTCCCCAAAACAGAGCTATAAGACTGTCCAGGGCACTGACAACTTCTAATGAACTATATGTTTGATGGCTTTAAAAGTTTAATGAGGGGCTGGAAAGGTGGCTCAGTGGTAGAGCACTTGCCTTGCATGCATGAGGCCCTGGGTTCGTTTTCTCAGCACCACATAAGCAGAAAAAAAAGGCTGGAAGTGGTGCTGTGGCTCAAGTGGTAGAGCATTAGCCTTGAGCTGAAGAGCTGAGGGACAAGCCCTGAGTTCAAGCCCAGTACTGATATGTGTGCACACAAGTACATATGCACACACACATACTCCCCCTCCACACACACACACACATACACACACATGAATGCACACACATGAATGCACACACAAAAGCAACAAGTGTCAGCAAGATGTGGAATAACTGGAACATCCCCACTGCATACAGAAATGTGAGCTGACATACACCTTGCAGGCTGTTCGTCAGCTTCATTTTTTGTTTTTTGTTTTTTTTGGGTCCAGTTGTGGGGCCTGAACTCTGGGCCTGGGAGCTGTCCCTCAGCTCTTCAGCCCAAGGCTACCACTTGAGCCACAGCGCCACTTCCGGCTTTTTTCTTTTTGCTTATGGGGTGCTGAGGAATCGAACCCAGGGCCTCAGGTATGCAAGGCAAGCACTCTACCACTGAGCCACCTTCCCAGCCCCTGTCAGCTTTGTTTTGTTTTGATTTTGGTTAAAATTCATTTTGTGTTCCCCACTGTTCCCTCCCCTCCACAACATGTTGATGCTTTCTGGTTTCATTTTGTTGAACAGTTTATTAGCTATTCAGAGAATATACACCTTAGGATCCCTCCTTTAATTAGATGATCCTTTAACCCCATATATGTTATTATGTATGTTCATATTTTAAATCTATTAGTATTTTACATCTGTTTATATTTTCAATCTCTTGGGTACTTTCTTAGAGTACCTAAGCCTACCTCACCATCCAGCTCTTCCTCTTCTATATGTCTTCCTAGAAGAGCAAGAAATATGTCCACACAAGAGCTTGTACTCAATAATCCATAGAAGCCATATTGCAATTGGTGCCAGTGATTCATGCCTGTAATCCTAGCTACTCAGGAGGCTGAGATCTGAGAGTCATGATTCAAATCCAGGCAGAGCAGGAAAGTCCATGAGACTTTTATCTCCAATTAAGCACAAAAAAAAAAAAAAAAAAAGCTGGAAGTAGAGATGTGAGTGGTAGAGCACTCGCCTTGAACACAAAAGATGAGGGACAATACCCAGGCCAAGTTCAAGCTCTAAGACCAGCATGAAAACAAACAACAGCATTTCCAATCACTTTCTTCCACCCCCTTCATCCTCCTCTCAAAAGCCAAAGTGGCCCTTCTTAAGGTCTTTTAGGCCTTAGGATGGTAAAACAGCCATTCCAACATGAGCAGCTATGTTATATTGACTGTTTTGAATTTAAAGTCACCTGATAGGAGAAAAAAAAAAAAAAAAGGCAGGGCACTCTGGTCTTCCTTCATTTCCTGAAAGCTTCCTCAACCCAGGGAAAGATACCTACCCAGAGGCATGAAGAAAGACATCATCACCAGAGATGGGAGCAGACCAAGAGAAACCTGACAAACCAACCAAGTTCAACTAGCTCTACCTTCCTAAACGTTTTCACACGACAAATTGCCCTAGCCCAAACAAATCATTTGCACAATTTACTACTGTTTGTCTGACTCAGCACATGAATAATACTCACCTAAACTACTTTGCATCTAAATATTTCTTCTGAGTGTTCAATTTACATGTGGAAGTTACTAAGTAAACTTTCTATCTCATCTACCTGTTAATCCTGGTAGAATCTAAGGCTATAGAAAAAAAAATACCTCTTGCAAAAAAAAACCCAAAAAAACCCTCCTATATTTCCCCTTTCTTAAAGACTAAAAAATAGGTCTTCACAGCATCCTAGAATGTCTTCTCCAACCACATGGGACAAACATTCAGATTAAGTCTTCAATGTGGCTACACACCTTCCTTTATTTTATTTATTTTGGCCATTCCTAGGACTTGAACTTAGCCTGGGCTCTGTCCCTGAGCTTCTTTGTACTCAAGGCTAGTGCTCTACCACTGGAGCCACAGGGCCACTTCTGGCTTTTCCTGAGGAGTTAATTGGAGATAAAAGGTCTCACAGATGTCCCTGCCCAGGCTGGCTTCGAACTGTGATCATCAAATCTGAGGATTACAGGTGTGAGTCTGGCATCCTCCTTTCAACAGATGGTCCATCTAGACTTGTACCTTTCCATCCTCCAACCTATCTCCGACTACATTCCCTTCCAGCCACTGTGCTCCAGGCACACTAGAAGCCTGGCTAATTCTTCAACTCAACAGCCTATTTCCAAATGAAGTCTCTGTGCTCCCTGCCTGCCCTATTTGTTCATATATCTAAACCCATGCTTCAACATTGCCTTGCACAACAGCGCCCCCATGTGTCTACCACCCTAATCCATACACATAAACTCATGTGGCCAGCATTCAGGGGTTTTGTTAAAACCCACATACTTTAACATCTTTACTGTGTTATATAACTCCTTTATTATGTAACACAGCATATAGGTTCTAAGAGAAGGGTAGTTTATGACTTTATTTTTTCCCTATTGTATCTAATTGTCTAGAATAAATCCTGTTTTGTAGAAGTTGGTCCTCAGTGTAATCTACTGACCCCAGAAAAACTTTTCCAAAATTGTTTATCTTTGTTTTCAGAATTATAAAATTTTTAATCGTAACAGTTGATTCCTATTCAGACACATATCTGTATCTTCTAGTGCCAAATTTAAAACCAGAATTTCTATTCTTTCACAGCATTACTTGGGATATACGGCTGCAGTATTCCCAGCTGTAAAGTGGTGAGAATTTCAGGGGCAGCCTGAGTATTTCCTATGGGAAGATAAGCCCTTCTGCCTCAGCTCCAGTGACTCACGCAGAGCAGCTGACACAGCGTCAGGTGTCTGTGAGAACATGTGACTAGCAACCACAGCCCTTCATCTTTGGTCCTTGACTTAACACGTGACTTACCCTACTTGAGAGGCCAAAGCTGCAGAGAGTGAGCTGACAATTCACTCAGCAGAAAGTAAGATGCTTTTAGAGGCTTGAGCAAAGCCCTGAGAGAATCATCTGGTCTCCTTCACTATTTCCCTATCTCTGTTCCATCATAGTCTGTTCATCTGCTATCAACCCAAGCACTCCTGAACTTCCAAAAGTATCTACAGAGTGTGGAATCACAATCGTCCTTAAGATGTGTGTGTGTGTGTGTGTGTGTGTGTGTGTGTGTGTGTGTGTGTAGAGAGAGAGAGACAGAATGTGAGTTTTTTTATCTTATCAAATAACTGTGAATGATTTGGGTTCAGTCTCAAAAGTTATTGTTTACAAAAAAAGACTTAAAGTCAACTCAACGTTAGTGTTGTCAAGTCCTCTAAATTGTTTGACTTTCTTTCTTTACTGTTACATGGAGACTTCTTAAGAGAAAACCTGCTAGGTGTGGCAACTCCCATAGTCACGCGAGGAGGGACCGTGTGCTCAATACCTAAAAGATTCTGAAAATGACCTGATTTACACATGTAGAGCTTATCACCTTAAATTCTTCAGTGACGTGGAGAGGTAATCTTCCAGGAACTGGAGGTATTTACATCATCAAACAGACTTTAGTAGCCTTTAAAGGCTCTCTGAGGTTCTAACCACAAGGTCAAAGACCTGGGATAACCTTCAATGACCTAGACACTTCAAGGAAGAGTTGGACAAACAACATTCAACTCTTTCTGCTGTTCCTTATGTGAAAGACAAGCTGTAAAATTTAGCCTTGCACAGCCCTGCCAAAATACTCAGACACATCGATAATGTAGGATAGTAAAACATACGTAATAGTAAAGTATCAGGATGATAAACTGTTAGGATAGCAAAAAGTTTCTGGGACTGTTGCTCAGTGATACAGAACTTGCCTAGCCCCCACAAGGCCCTGGGGTTGATCTCCAGCAATAAAGTTGTCATCCTCATCATCATCCTCATCCATAGTAGTAAAGGCAGTTATCACAGAACCACAAAAACCTTTTATTGAGTCAATTATTTAAGGAATCCACAAGAATTAAAATCACCATCCATTGCTTGCATATTCCTGGTATTTTGAAATAATAGCTTTCTCCTATAGCATACTCTTAACATGTTTCATAGATAGGTAGGTAGAAAGGTAGGTAGGTAGGTAGGTAGGTAGATAGATAGATAGATAGATAGATAGATAGATAGATAGATAGATAGATAGATAGATAGGGCATGTTATATCATTCCAACATCTCTCTCCTTTACCATTGCACTGTAAGTTTGTGAGAAAGACAAGATTTTATTTCTTTCTAGAGCTCTTCGTCTGACCAGTAGAAAAACAAGCTGCACTCAGCACTTGAATGCATGCTGTCAGCAAACAGAAGCATACACATCACAGTGAACAAACTACTAGAGTTCTGATCAAAGTTCTCCATTGTTCAAACAGGGCTAGTAAATTCCTGTTGATGATTTGAGATATCTGGCAGCACCCTTGGAAATTGGCTCATTGCTCACCAAAATAGGAAGTTGTTCATCCCCCTACATACGCTAAATACTTATCTAGTTATTCATATTTAAGTTACCGTAGTAACTCCATTACTTAGATTCTGCCTACAATCCATGGAGCCTGATGAGGATTTCTAACCAGTTCCAAACAAGGTTTGTATGTTATGGCACCA